ATTAGTCTAAATTTTTATTATAACAGAAGGTAGTAAATAAATCCAACAATAGTTCACTCATATCTCAATGAAATTTCTAGAGGTCCAGTCACATGGGGTAACTCAGAGATTGTGCCACCTGCCTTGCAAGTTCAAGGTCCCAAGTTCGATCCTTGGCACAATGTGCACACACACACACACACACACACACACACACACAAAGATATCTCTTTCAGTGTGAAGGATTACTTGCTAACTCTGGCTCCTTAAAAAACTAAAAGTGAGTTACAATACCTTGATGGCTGTCTTTGGATTTTGGACATGGCACATAACCCATTTGGAAGTGTTACTCCTCCCTATTGATCACATAACCTGATAGTTTTGAGTGAAAGAAAAGTGTCTTCAACTTGTTAAGGCTATTTTGAAAGCTGTTCTGCCACTTGGGGCATATGATTCTATACATCCAGTGGTGCTTGAAATATCAGTGACATGTAAGGGTGTTGTTTGGAGCCTGTAGCAGAGATCTATAGGTAAATTGACACACAGGTCCTTTGAATTCCGAAGCAAAGTTATCTTTTACTGATAACTACTGTCCTTTTGCAAAACAGTTTTTTCCCTGCTACCAGACTAATAGAGACTAAATAGTCATGACCACCAATTTCCCAGCAACCTGAGCAGCTTCTCGTGAATTGAGTGCTATCTGACACGCGAATCTACTAAGCTGGAAATGCACAGAAGTACTTTATTATCAATGAGAGTGGTACATAAGTAATTGAGCCCTAGAATACCATGAGATGCAAGTAAATTAGATGATGAAAGGTAGCTCAAAGGCCTAAGGTCTCAGCCTCAATCTGTTACTTTGGCCCTGTGGGGAATTCTCTATTAATAGTTGGAAGGGGAAGAAAAGACTCAGGCATGGTTTTCAGATAATTTGATTTCACATGTAGGAGCTACCTGAAAATATACAGCTGTAGCACCACAGTTCCCTTTCTGGTACACCCTCAAAAGGAATAGTTGACTAAAATCTCTGAATGTGCATACTTTGATCACTGACTCTGGTTCTTCTCCTGTTTGGACTGAGAAATGGTCATACATGAATCAGCATAATGATATATGGGCTGTAAACAATGGTTTGGCTGAATGGTCAGGAACTTGGATAGTCAGGACGAGGAAATGTGTATGAAGTGTGACACAGAAGTGTATATGAAAAGATCTCTCCTTTGGATTTTGCAAAAAATATGAAAATAATTGTGTCCCATTTGAATTTTTATCACAGAGAAAGCTCAACAGAAAAAAATATTTTAATTCCCAAGTAGATGGGATTATTCATTCCACCTCTGTCATTGCCCAATGAAATTATGAACAAATTTCCCATGGTGGTAGGCATGGAGATTATGATAGACTTCACGATATGGATTTTCACTAAGGCTGACCTGACCATGAATGACACTCTTATAGTACCAGATAAGTAACAATGGCTTGTGTAGCAAGATAAAGTTTCATCAGAAGGACACATAGTATTTAGTGTTTCTCCAATAGCAGGATATGTTGGTCCAGAAATCAAGAGATGAAAATGAAAGTAACACCATACAACCTTACTCCTAGTGTTTTTTGCTTCCTCTTCTGATAAATTTATACTCTTCTGGCCTAGACATATTACTTCTAAAGAAAGCAATGCTTCCACTGTGACACATAAAGAGTTTACTACAGACCTCAGGTTTTTTTTTAATCCAGAGGCAAAAATGAGAGTTATTGTACTAATGAGACTGACAGGTCCTTATTAAGAAGAAAATTGGACAACTACTTTATAATGCAGCAAAGAAGAATATGTCTGAATCAAAGGCAATCTTTTTTTTTTTTTTTTTTTTTGTTTTTTAAAGGGTGTCTATGTGAGACTGACCTGGAACTCACTGTGTAGCCCAGGCTGGTCTCGAACTCACAGTGACCCTCCTGCCTCAGCCTCCTGAGTGCTGGGATTACAGGTGTGCACCACCACACCTGGCCCCAATCTCTTATGGCATTTTTTTATTATGTCTTGTGATTAAGTTCAATGGAAAACTAAAACAACCCATTGTGAAGATCTTAAACAATGAAGGTTTGTGCCATCCTGAAAGGTAAAGAACCAGAATAGGCTTACAGAAGGCAAAAGGAAGGTAGAATATGTAGAGGAAGGAGGCAGTTATACAAATCAGCCATGGCTAAATGACCAGTTATGAGCATTTCCTCCTTCCTTTGTTATGAGTGTCTTCACTATATGTATGAGATGACTGTTTATATCACTTTGTTATTCCCATATCATGTAACATGTATTTTAGTATTATTAATTTTATATCAGAGTATTTATGCTACTGGACATTAGAGAGAATAATAATCAACTCTAAAGGACTTTACCTTCTCCTCTGGAGAAGAGTTTAATATATTTTCTGATGAAAGCAGAATAGTTATATGGTTCACTACACTCTGAGGGACTGGTTCCAACACTAGCCCAGAGGATACCAAAATTCAAGGAAAGTGAAGTACCTGATATGAACTGTCATAACATCTGCAGGTTATGTATGCATATCTTCTATAGTATTTAGGGGTAATGACAAGGGAAAAGTCTGTACGTATTTAACCCTAAGATACACTTTTCTGAATATTTCCAATGGATAATTGTTGAATCTGTGAGCGCAGAACTGCAGATAAAGAAGGTCAACTGTATTATATTAATCACATTTATGATCTTATTTGAAAATTAAACATGCTTTAAGGAGAGCCTTATGAGTGTGAAGGTTGAGATGGACTTTTGATGTTAAATTTTCTGTGTCAATTTGACTGGGCCAGAAATCTGATTAAACTGTATTTCTGGATGTGTCTCTGAGATTATTTCTGGAAGAGATTAACATTTGACTCAGTAGAGTGAGTAAAGCAGACTGCTCTACCCAACATGAGTGGGCATGATCCAATCTGTTGAGTGTCTGAGTAAAGCAAGAGTAGAGAAAGGGATAATTTCCTCTGCCTGACTGAGGGAGCTAGGATATCAGTCTTTTGCTCGTGGAGCAGGACTTATAACACCAGCACGACTGGCTCTCAGGCCTCTGAACTTGGACTAGGATTTACAATCTTGACTCTCCTCTGTTTAGGACTTCCCAGTTGAATAAGAATTTACACCACGAGTTCTTGTTTTCAGGCTTTCCGACTCAGACTGGGAATATGCCACCTACTTTACTGGGTCTCCACCTTGTAGATAGCAGATTGTGAAACTTCTGATATTCCATATTCCATGAAATGATTTCCTATCATAAATCTATTTATGTAAACCAATTCTATATATTGGTTCTGTTTCTCTGAAAACACCGACAAATGCAATGTTCTTCAGTAGACAGACTGTGATGCAACTGAAGAGTGGAATATTATTCAGTGCTAAAAAGCATGAGCTATTGAATCATGAAAATACATGGAGAAAAGATGTATACACTTCTAAGTGAAAGAAGCCAACTTTAAAATTTCATATGTATAATATCCAGAGTATGACATTCCAGAAAAGTTAAAACTATCAAGACAGTGAAAAAAAAAATCCCAATCATGAGATAACAAGAGGGAGTGATGAACTGAGTGAACACAAAGGATTAAGAATCCTCAAAGAACAGTGAAACCATTCTGTATGATAAATTGTAGAACATATTTCACTATATATTTGTCAAACTTCATAGAATCTGTGACACCTACTGTAGTGAAATCTAATGTAAGCTGTGAGGTTTGCGTGATAATAGTGTGTCACTGCAGGCACATGGATTAAACAGTTACACCAGGTGTCCCTTTATGAATGTGCGCTGTTAATAGTGATGGAAGAGTTTCATATATGGGAGCAGAGTATATGAGAGTGTTCTGCTACTTCTGCTATGTTTTGCTATAATGTTAAAACTACATTAGAAACTCAATTCAGTTTTATAAAATAAAGTGAGGGAGGGAGCACACCTGCAGTTCCAGCTCTCTGAGAGGCCAAGACGGAAAAATAGCAAGCTTGAGCAGAGCCTGTGCAACTCAGCAGCTTAGCAAAATCCTGTCTGAAATCAAAAGATTTAAAAAAAAAAAGGGCTAAGATGTTGCTCAGTGTGAAGGTCACGGCTTCAACAGAGAATATGGAACAGAAGGAGAAGGAAGAGGAGGAAGAGGAAGAGAAGGATGAAGAGGAGGGGCAGGAGGAAGAGAAAGAGAAAGAAGATATGTTACCTGGGATTCTAAATAATAGCCACCCTATTCTTCAAGGATCTTTATGTTCAAATTTCATAGCTAGTCATCAGTCACTTTGACATCATGGTGTGATAAATAATAAAAATAATGCTTTTGTAGACAATGAAAGTATATTTTCTAAATAAAGTTAATTGTTAGGAAACTATAATATTTTAAATCAATATTAAGGATACTAAACCCATATAAGAAAAAATTCATGTATATCTGTTGACTTACAGACAATCTATTCCTGAGAGCTAGTTGTAACTCCAGTCAGTCAACTGAAGCCTCAGACTCCTCTACACAACCCTCAAAGTCTCTTTCCTCTATATAGGCAGATCTCAGTGTCCTTAGAGAGACACTGATCCAGGATTTCTCAGTTAACTCCACAAGAAAGGATGTTGTAATGTTCTTTCCAGAACTCTTTAAGAGTTAAATCTGTTTTGTTTTGTTTTTTTGGTACCGGGGATTGAACCTGGGTCTTTGCGCTTGCAAGGCAGGCCACCAAACCGCTGAGCTAAATCCCCAGCCCAAAGAGTTAAATCTGTTTTGTTTTGTTTTTTTGGTACCGGGGATTGAACCTGGGTCTTTGCGCTTGCAAGGCAGGCCACCAAACCGCTGAGCTAAATCCCCAGCCCAAAGAGTTAAATCTGTATATGAAGCTATCTGGAAGTACAAGCGACTGATACTCAGGTCATAACTCAAAAGACATTGCTCATAACTTAAAACTAAAGTTTTAACAAGTTGTTTGTATGTCAGCCCAGTCATAACTCAAGGGTCCACTGTACTTCATAACGTTTAAGCACTTTGTGTTCACTTTGGCAGCACATGTACTAAAAACTGGAAAAATGCAGAGAAAATTAGCATGGTCTCTGTGTAAGGGTGATATGCACATAATGTTTAAGCATTTAAACAGTTAATTAAAGTTGGCAATAGATACTGGAAAATTGCTTTATAGTAATTAAAAACTAAACCAAATATTTTTAACACATTAAGCTTCTTGGAATTTCAATATTTTATTTGATTCATTTAGCTTACAATGTTTTCAAGCACATTGTAAATCCTCTGAAGTCTCTGCTTTGAAATGTAGACTGTTAACGTATTCATTTTTTAAGATAAATTCACTATTGCTAGTCTATGAGTCTATCTTGTGATTTATTTCAAAAACAACATGAATGTCTTCACTTTATATTCATAATTATTCAATCCTGATTTTTAATCAAAATTTGATAGCAAATATAATTAATATGTATTCTTTACCTTTCTACAAATTTTTCCTTCTTACAATAAATCTTGACACAATTATTAAAAATAATTTATAAGTAATTATATGTGGACACATTTCTTGCCCTAAGATCAGTTTCTTAGCAGTCTTTTAATAATCAACACAGAATATTTTTAGTCACAAGAAAATTTCTGCCTATGCATTATGAAAAAGTGTTGGATTTGTTAACATTTTTTTCTTTCATTTTATCCTTCTACCCCTGAATCACATCATAAAATGTCACAGGATAAATTTACACATATCTCCTCCATACAAATGCAATACCAGCTCTGTATGGTGTGAGGCTGAAATATAGATCCATTATCCAAAGTTGAGACAAAAACAATCTTTTTTATGTTTCATCTACAACAAAAAAATATTTAAAACATAATAAAATATTGGGAGGTGGTTATCTGTAGCAAAAGATGTGGATGAATACTTCTCTGATTCTTTTTTTGTTTGTTTCGGTATTAGAGATCAAACATGGGACTTTGCACTTATGAGGCAGGTGATGGAACCACTGAGCTAAATCCTTGGCCCCTGATTCTTAACTTTACTATGAATGATGTGAAAGAAAATATTAAGCTCCAGAATTATTAGGATTAAATTGGAAAACATAAGTAAAAAATTAGTATTAATCATAAAATGCCCTATAAATATTAGGTATGAATGTTAGATACTATATATACTTAATAATTTCACAATATCAGAATTGTGAGAGAAATTTGGGCAAACCAAGTAAGAGAGACAAAAGGAAGAAGAAAACACTGGCTGTATATCAAAGACTTGAATGAAAGTGAGAGCTATAAATGTTTCAAAATTTTTTCATCTCAATTTCTTTATAGTGATGAGTGTCGGATGTGGTGCTAAGAATAAAAATAGTAAACTCTAATGAAAATTGAAACACAAGGAGCCAAGAAGGTGATTTGAATAATTTAATCAGTTTATCCCCAGCTCATTTGCCTTTTATTCTTCATTTCAGTTCACTACATGTCCACCGGTTATCACCAAGGTTATGCATGCACCTTAAAATGCTCACAAAAGGTTCACGATACAGGGGTTCATAATTAGGTTACATGTTATATTCAGAATCCCAGGGGAGCTAATAGATTCTAGAAATATCGATTAAACAAGATGAAAAATTTTTACACAGTTTCTACTACAACAATTTCAAAGACAAATACAAGCTTCATCTGCCACAAAACTCACAAAAAGGTCATTGATTGAAGAATATCTCTTTTATGCAAAATATACATTTTAGGATATAATTTATTCTACTATATACTGACATTATCCCTTAATCATTTAATAAAAAAATACTCTCATTGCCAGAATTTTATATTTCTTATTATTTATAATTGAGGTAACAATGACAAAAGACTTAAACTATTAGTACTGTTGGTGAATTTCTTTTAAGTCACAATTCTTCCAGAACTAAACAAATAGGAGACTAAAAATAGGTCAGCTTTGATAAATAGACAAAAAGTTTTATAACACAATTAACAAGCTGATAATGTAAGTGGCTTGTAAAACAATGATACAGTTGACGTTTATGGATCCATCCGTAAAATAGAAATACACAAAATTAAGACAGGCCTATACTACATCAGTATACTGCCTTGTATAATTCACAGCACAAACTACAGCAGACCCATGAGGAGGAATGCAGAGAAACATGGGCCTTAGTTGAAGCTTCAGAGATGTTTATTGTGAACTTGGCTTCCCTCGATGTGAGATGGCCAAAGCTGTTGATCCATGCACTCATATTGGTATTTACAGGTGTCGCTTCATGGCCATTGGTCAGTCTCCAAGCAGGACACTCACGTGAGGAGCACCAAATCAGTCCCAGCCATAGTTCTCCATAATTCTTGCACAGACTTTCACTGCCTCATGAAGATGTGGGGACTTCTTCCAACTACAACCTGGTCAAATCAGGGCACATTCAGTAGCAGAAGTTGTTTCCAGTACAATCCTTGGTATGGTTAAATTCCACTGCCCCTTTTTCAGCAATCAAAAATCCATGACAAATTCTGTACAACACTGCAGTCAATAACAGCAGCACCAGACAGCATATTAATTCTTGTAACATAAATGTATGTGTAATTATAACATTCTATGTTTGGCGTTATCAAAAGGATCACAGTATCTCTAAATATTGGATATGTATGTCTGGATAAATACATCACTGTACAAGATCTCTGACATGCAGTTCATGCTCTAGGATTCAAGGATATAGAGTAATACATGTTTCTTGGCCAATAATAAAAGTGACAATTGTCTTCCTCACCAAAAATAAACATGATAATTAGAAATTAATCAATAATCTCAAGGTTTCTAAATGTCTCAAAACTACTGTTTATTTCTCTATTTATATTATGGCATTTTTCTCCTCTCCTAATCCCAACACACCAGATACCCTGTTGCTTTTGTACTTGATAGAGATGTGTAAACAGACTTCTTTCCACTTAAACTCAGTAAGACTCCCTTGGGGTTTTGCTGGAGCACAGTGATGAATGCTCGTTTCTAGGTAGTAGAAACTTACACTGCATTGGTGAACCAAGTACAATGGCGAAATTGCTGCTTAAATGCTGCTTTTCAAGAAGATTCACTGTGCAGACTAATTTAGGTAGTTTACAGGACATCATTAATTTATACTCAAAACTGAGAGGCTGCTCCAAATAGCAAAGAAGACAAGGGACAGGGTGTGAGGGGATGCAGTCCTAAAATCGCGAGTTCCTTATCAAGGCATTTCTACATTTCATGGAGACAAACAGCAAATACAGTTAAGACAGGGAGCTAAGACAGAAAGACAGAAACAACATACAGGACAAAGCACCTGATTAAACGCTGCCTGGAACTCTGATTTGTCATTTAATTCAAACTTTTAAGGCGAGTTGAAAAAACCTGCAAATACCAGTGACCATTGTAGTTTACATAAATATTAACGAATAAAAATAAAGGAGGAGGGTAAAAATACACCAAAACTTTGGATAATGTTTGGCATTTTGCTTCTGAAAATAATAACAAATTGGGGATTAAAAAGTTACCCTAATACCAAGCAGCAATTTCTGACTAAACAATGCAAGCCTGGCTGGCAGTTACCTTTCTTTCATGTTTTGTGCCTTCCCCAAGTCATTAAGTAAGAGATCTGGCATCGGCTTGCGTGTAGCCAGTAATGACAACCTCTTTGCAGTTATCTGTGTACAAACAACCAAAGACATTCAGAACTGCAGTACAGCATTTTTGAAGAAAAGTAAATCAATCAAGAAATCAAAACTCTTTCAAAACACATATTTTTACCAAAGAACAAGGGTGAAAAAAATGATGAGGAGAAACCCATCCTCCTGCCCCACATTTCAACATGCAGAACAGTCAGCCAATGCTTTCATATCAGCAGGATAATTTGATGTGAAATACACATATCTTGGAGCCATAGTCCTCAGACTCTGCAACATTGCTTTCGGTGACAGGGACAAGATGGCCCATTCAAATGAGCTGAACAAAGTCATATTGTATGCAATTCAGATAGGATCCCAGACATCTTCAGAATGGTTTAGTCACAAGAAATGAAGTCCCAATAAAGTAGCTGGCATTTGGAAGCACACTGTTTAAATATATCTCCCTGAATATACATTTATGGGTTAGAGTACTGGCCAATATCTGAAGCTATACATCATTTTATTGCAAGGGGATATCAGGGCAATTAATAGGGAGAGATAATAATACTACTTTAGATAATCTTTAAAGCCAGGATAAGATTTGTTAGCTACTCATGTGGCATTTCTGATTTCAAATAGTAGACTCATGCAGGATTTCTACTGTATTAATGGAGCCTGGAGTAATTCTACTTTTAATTACTTCCTTTTGGGGATAAACAGTACTGGAATTAATACAATTTAGCCGGCTGATGCAGTTTGGTTTACAAGATAGATGGGATGGGAGATCGAGAGCGTCTCAGAGGACAAGGAGAGTTGTAGGGTGATGTTACTGGAGAGAGCCTCAGAGCATTGCCTGCCAAGCCCGCTATGTTGTTTAAGCTTCTGGATTTTTCATATCCTTTCATGAAAAAATGCATAGACATCAGTTGAATCCAACCAGAAAATAGGCACAGACAAACAATATCATGCAGAGTAACCAAAAAGGCTATTTTTGAGCTCAAAGAAGAATTTTAAGAATTCAATATTGAGATGATTTATAAGTCTAAATAATGAAACCCACTGTAACTGTCATTCCCCAAAATTAAAGCAGCTATCACAAATTACAGTTGTAACAATAAAAAATATATCATTTCCCAGGTTAGTAATAGCATTGTTTTAATTTTGGCATACAGAAAACCAGAATAGGCAAAGCAACTTAAGTAAGATATGGACTTTATTAATATTTTTAAATTTCAGAATGTGAGTTTGAAAATAAAAGAAATAATGAACCATTTTTCTCTTTTCATTTTTATTTCTTGATAAACTAATAAAACATGCTTAACTTTAAGTGAATAACTTCTTTTTCCTGCATATTCATTCCTCTAGATTTATAGAGTTTAAATGATGTTTCTTAGATAATGACATTTAATGCCATTATCCAGGTGATGTAGAATGGAATGTCCCTTTGTAATCCCTTTGATAAAAATAGATGAGAAAAAAGTGAATTAAATATAAATTGTGCCATAATTTCAGTGAAATACATTTGAACGTGCTTGTTTTCAACCAACTTCTTCCCTTTCCTTCATTGCCTAGAAATTGAGAACATTTTTAATTCCCCTTTTTCTATTATCTTTCATCCAAATCTTTTGTTCATGATAACCATAGAAAATAAAAGTCTCTCAAAAACTAACCCAATGATTTTCCTTAAAAACTCAAGCGACCCTCCATTAAAGTGTCCTCTGGAAGGATTCGTGTACCAGTGTATTTTTTTTTACCAAATATTAACAAGTAGTTTAATAAAGTAAGGATCACCTAGTGTAAAGTTTAAAGTGAAAATTCTTAAAAGCAGGATAAATATTGATTAAAAATACCCTATTACACAACTTTGGACATGAATATTCTGACAGCTCCAGTGAAGAGCTGTTATACAGTAGGAGAATAAATTTCATTTTGAGCAACCAAAGGTAAGCAAGTACATGCTATTCCAGTGAACTTATTTGTGTTAGAATGTGTAGCACACTTTTGACTCTACTGAGCACACAGCAGGCTTGACGATTGTGGAAGGAAAAACAAATAAGTCCTTTTGTTTGTCCTCATGTTTCTACCAGCTACTCCTTTCTTTAATTGCATCTTTTGATAGAACTTCCAAAAAAGAAGGCATTGCTACTCCTCTTCTTTTCACTGCAAGAAGAGAGGTGACTTATCTGATTATTTGACTTATGTGAGGCCGGGATAGATATGGATACAGATTGCAAAAATAAATCTATGAATGAAAAACCTGGTCAGGAAAACAAAGGGAATGATGAACTCCCCACACCCCCACATATAAACCCTTAATTTTCTTTCTGGGAACTAAATGTCTTCTATGAGATTTTTGTTAATAGAAATTTATGTCTTCCACTAATTACAGTAAATATTTCAAGAATGTAATCTCTGTTAATTAAAGAATTATCTCTCAATGTTTGTTACTATTCTTTGTAATAAAACATGAGAGAAGATATATATTTCATTCTATGCTGGTAGATGTTGCAAAAGTTAATTGGAGGATTTCTTAAATAAATTTTTGAATGGAAGTTAATTTTATTCTTACAGAGAAAATCTCATTGCCTGCTTTTCTATTAAGCAGCTAAATATTAACTGTGGAAATTGCAGAAAAATAAAATTAGTTCTACACAGAAGTTAACTGTTATATATAAATTTATGCTAGCCTGTAAACATTGACTACTGTTGATTACAGGGAGAAATGGTTAATATTCATGAAGCAAAAGAGTTGTTATTACCTAGAAATCATCATGTAAAAATTATGACTTTATCTCCTACAATCTCCATGCTACCCACAGGACCCTAGAAATATAAAGATCTATGTAACAATTTTATATTAATCACACAAGAGATAAGTAAATTATGACTGTCATCATTCTAAGTGTTAGTATTTTCAAAATTATAATTTGTAACATAAATAGCATTCATCCTACTCATAGATCTTTTTACTTTTAATGCTCATAATTTCAATATACACTTGAAAGTTGTCTCTAATTTAGTAACAAGTATTTAGTAAAATTATATATTATTCACATACTTTTATATCTCTTTATCTTACAGGTTCACTTAGGGTTAGAAAACTTGATAAAATTTTGCCTAATCAAGATTTTCCTTGACTACTTGAAAAAAATAAGTCATGGGAATAAAAAATACTATACCTATTTTGGACCAACATCTGAATATACATCTTGCATTTTATTCAGTTTATAAGAGCATGTGATTGTTTGGGGAAATGTTATAAGTGTCAATCCACATTCTAGGCATGAGAATGTTTTTGTTAACATAACAATATGCTTTCTTAAAACTATTATATAAATAAAGGTCTATGTTCTGTGTGTTGGAAGTTCATGCTTTAAAAGAATCCTTAAGTTTTCTTCTTGTATGCCCAACTAGTCTGTAAGTAATAGAAAGAACACAATGGAAATCCAGTAAGTAGTTCATTTTCATTTAAATAAAAGAATTTTTAGAATTCTAAAATAAAATCAGTAGACCAATAAGAAAGATAAATGAAGGGATCCTATGAGAAATAAATGTCTGAGTAGAAGTAATACATGATAACTACAGACTACATAAAACGAAAGAGAAGAATAAGTGAATGAGTTCTTGGTAGATTATGGTAAGATTTCACACTAAAGATGTTTACATAACGCAGAAATGTTATCATATCTAGGACAGAAAAACACATAGCTACACAAAGAGCTAAGCAAGAATGAAAAAGAGTTGATATGGCAAAAAAAAAATGACAAACCATAAAAGCTCTTTAAAGTTTTTTAAAGATCTCCTCAATAATACAGAAAATCTGTGTTTGCAAAATAAAATTTCATGTAAAATAGTTTCATGCAAATTGATATCTTATTTATTGCTTTGCTCATAAAACTTTTCAGTTGTACACTAAAAGTTTATATTTACATAGTACCTCATAATTTATAAAGGCTTTTCTCACTTGTAATTTCTTTTGACAGTTTAAAATTCAAAGTATTGTCTAACATCAAAAAAAGTCTCACAAAGTCCTTAAATATGTAAACTTGGTATTAATGTTTCATGGAATACTTCACTAGATGCATGAAATGTTCATAAATTTAATCCCATATACATATGGATATGTACTGGGATATACTATATACAAGTATATATGTACATATATATATATATATATATAAAACAATTTATGCAAAGCACAGAAAAGAGTTTACTCAGTACATTGTTAGATATTATTATCATTATTTAATATATACAAATATATTTTGCTCAAATACTATGATGGGATATTAATTATCTTCACAAAATATTTAAATTTTTGTAGCATATAAGTAAAAATAGGTAGTAAATATTCAAACACATTCAAATGATTGAAATGCATTGTAATTAAAGGAGTGGATGAAGAAAATGAAACTAATTGGAATGAAGGAATATTTAAAATATAATTAATAAGGAAACAAAAGAAGAGTCTTTTGTCTTCTCTTTTGAGACTCAAAGATATAAAAACAGAGGACAATGTAATATGATCAGAATAAATGAATGAAAACTACAATGTGAATAATGAAAATTTTCAGAAAAAGATTATCACAAAATATTTTAAGCTTTAAATGGCAGAAATCCAAACAGGGAGAAACTGAATTTAATAGCAAATAAGCAAAATTAAAAATGTAATTGCACTAATATGAAAGTTTTGTAATTGATTTTCATTCAAATTTAGTCAATAATCCTTTAAAAAAATCACAGATCTTTCTGTTATATTCGAAAACGCCTGACATTTTCATTCATTGGACAAATCTTTATTATTTACTGTGTCAAGCACTGTTTAGTATCTGTTGAAAAATACTACTGAACTTAAAATTACTTTCTCGTTCCTGAAGAAAAAAAATCTACATGTACATTTTTAAGTTCACAAGTTTT